ACACACGAACTTTACGAGGCGACCGGTACGACGATCATTGAACTTGGCGCAACACGATAGAAAACAATAAAAAAATCTAAATTAAAAATAAACTAACTAAACACTAATCAGCACTTTAGTACTTAATAATTAATTAATGATTTTGAATAATACAAACTAACGAACGAACGAGGGGGGATAGAGTATAAATAAACAACCGTCACACTAACTATAGTTACTACGACGAACGAGGAGGAGGACAACCGAAAATGCCGACCGACACAACCTGTTGTTTGTTTTGTTAATAGCAACAACAATAAGACCAAAAAAACTAAAAAAAAGCAACAATGTTGATGATGATGAGAGAATTATGTAGCACTTTTTCTTGTTGTTGTTGTTTTATTAGGTTTTATTAAGAATTACGAAATTTTTTTTGTTTGATTAAACTAAATATTCATTGAAACTTTTATACACTTTATTTAATTATTTAATTAACTTAAACCACACTTTCAAATTTTACAATAACTTATTTGCTTGCAATGAATGCCAAATTCTTTACTTCTTTTTTTATTCTTCTTCTTTCTTATACACATTCTACAATTTGCATTATGGTTGTTGCTGCTTTTTTCAAGAAGCCATTTTTTTTTTCTTTACAAATTTTTACAAATATTTTATAATTCTTATTAAATCTTATTAGATTTTCTTTAATCTATAAGATTTTTCACTAAAAACAACACAAACTTTTTCACAAATTGTTAATTGCTTTGCTTCACGTTTTTTTATGTATTTTTCTTCTTTAACTTTTATTTAAATGGTGGTCAATCACTTTTTTCAATTTAGAGTTGTAGCCGTAGTCATGGTTAGTGTAATACTAAAGCAGTCACTCGTTTTTTTAAAAAGTCGTGTTTTTTTGTTGCTTTTTCTTAATATTAACGGCTTGCAAATGGTCCACTATGTCAAAAGAAAAAGAAAGAGAGTAATCAGCTGTTTGTATCGTAGTTAAAGCACCTGTATTTTGTTGTTGTCTGAGAATATATTTGAGAATAGAGTGGTAGATTAAACGTTTGTTGTTTGTGTTATGTGGGTAGTTGTTTTTGTTATAGTGAATTTACCACCTTGTTTGATATGAGATCATAAATTTCACCATGTGTTTGTAGGGGGGGATCATCACAAGTAGAGTGTTACCAAGTAACATTAGTTAGTGTTACAAAAAGTAACGTTGAAATTAAGTTTAAAAGAACTAACTAACTAACTAACTAACTAACTAACTAACTAACTAACTAACTAACTAACTAACTAACTAACTAACTAACTAACTACTAACTAACTACTAACTAACTAACTAACTACTAACTAACTAACTACTAACTAACTAACTAACTAACTAACTAACTAACTAACTAACTACTAACTAACTAACTAACTAACTAACTAACTAACTAACTACTAACTAACTAACTAACTAACTAACTAACTACTAACTAACTAACTAACTACTAACTAACTAACTAACTAACTAACTAACTAACTAACTAACTACTAACTAACTAACTAACTAACTAACTAACTAACTAACTAACTAACTAACTAACTAACTAACTAACTACTAACTAACTAACTAACTACTAACTAACTAACTAACTAACTACTAACTAACTAACTAACTAACTAACTAACTAACTAACTAACTAACTAACTAACTAACTAACTAACTAACTAACTAACTAACTAACTAACTACTAACTAACTAACTAACTAACTAACTAACTAACTACTAACTAACTAACTAACTAACTAACTAACTAACTACTAACTAACTAACTAACTAACTAACTAACTAACTAACTAACTAACTAACTAACTAACTAACTAACTAACTAACTAACTAACTACTAACTAACTAACTAACTAACTAACTACTAACTAACTAACTAACTAACTAACTAACTAACTAACTAACTAACTAACTAACTAACTAACTAACTAACTAACTAACTAACTAACTAACTAACTAACTAACTAACTAACTAACTAACTAACTAACTAACTAACTAACTAACTAACTAACTAACTACTAACTAACTAACTAACTAACTAACTAACTAACTAACTAACTAACTAACTAACTAACTAACTAACTAACTAACTAACTAACTAACTAACTAACTAACTAACTAACTAACTAACTAACTAACTAACTAACTAACTAACTAACTAACTAACTACTAACTAACTAACTAACTAACTAACTAACTAACTAACTAACTAACTAACTAACTAACTAACTAACTAACTAACTAACTAACTAACTAACTAACTAACTAACTAACTAACTAACTAACTAACTAACTAACTCAAATGTTGAATTTTCATAGAAAAATTTAATTTTCATAGAAAAATTTAATTTTCATAGAAAAGTCGAATTTTCATAAAAAAATTGAATTTTCATAGAAAAATTAAATTTTAATATAAAAGTCGAATTTTCATAGAATAGTCGAATTTTCATAGAAAAATCAAATTTTTATACAAAAATTAAATTTTCATAGAAAAATTTAATTTTCATAAAAAAGTCGAATTTTTATAGAAAAATTGAATTTTCATAGAAAAATTAAATTTTAATATAAAAGTCGAATTTTCATAGAAAAGTCGAATTTTCATAGAAAATTTTTAAAGAAAAATGTAATTTTCATAGAACAATTGAATTTCATAGAAAAATCAAATTTTTATAGAAAAATTTAATTTTTAAAGAAAAATTGAATTTTCATAGAAAAATTTAATTTTCATTGAAAAATTTAATTTTCATAGAAAAATTTAATTTTTATAGAAAAATTTAATTTTCATAGAAAAATTTAATTTTTATAGAAAAATTTAATTTTCATAGAAAAATCGAATTTTCATAGAAAAATCGAATTTTCATAGAAAAATCGAATTTTCATAGAAAAAATCGAATTTTCATAGAAAAATCGAATTTTCACAGAAAAATCGAATTTTCATAGAAAAATCGAATTTTCACAGAAAAATCGAATTTTCACAGAAAAATCGAATTTTCATAGAAAAATCGAATTTTCACAGAAAAATTTAATTTTCACAGAAAAATTTCATTTTCACAGAAAAATTTAATTTTCACAGAAAAATTTCATTTTCACAGAAAAATTCGATTTTCACAGAAAAATTTCATTTTTATAGAAAAATTCGATTTTTCTATGAAAATTCGATTTTTCAGTTTTCATAAAAAATCGAAAAAGTGAATTTTCTTAATTTTTTTTTTAATTTTTAATCGAACTTATAGAAAAATTCAATTTTCATGATAAAATTTAATTTTAATTTAATGAAAACCTATTTTAATTCTTTAGCTAATTCATAATAGTTTCACTCTTTATATAGAAAACTAAATTTACAATTTTTTGATTGCTTAAAATATATACTAATTTAGATTGTTCATTTATGTGTTATTAAAATTTAAAATTAACGCTATTTTCTTAAATTACTAATATTTTATGTGTGTTTCAATTTAAATATTATTTACTAACTGGCAATTCTGTCTAATATAAAATTACTACTAAAAAATACAACTCTTCAATAGAACAAAATTGCAGTTGGCAATACTGTCATAGAAAAAATGCCGTAAATTTTGACAGCTCTTAATAAGAATAAGCAAAAAATTAATTTACACAAACTTTTTTATATTTTCCTCCTAACTTTCTGCAATTTTTCTATAAATTAAATAAATAAACAACACAATAAAGGTAAATAAACAAGTTAACAGACAAATAAATTACAATTCTAAAACAAAATACTCTCTAACTAAAAAAGGAAAACAAACAAAAACTTGCCAGAAAAATCTTGTGAATAACAGAGGGATAAAAGAAATAAACACACAATTTCTACTAGTTTCTATTAGAGAAGACTGTAAAAAACACACCTGCTAAAATGTCTCACACGATTCTTTTGGTACAACCTGGTTCCCGGCCAGAAACACGCACCTACAGCGACTACGACAGTGTCAACGACTGCATGGAAGGTGTTTGTCGCATTTATGAAGAGCATTTGAAACGTATTAACCCCAATACACCCACCATCACTTATGATATTAGCCAACTGTTCGATTTCTTAGACCAATTGGCCGATATTAGCTGTTTGGTTTATCAGAAATCCACAAATACCTATGCGCCCTACAATAAAGAATGGATTAAGGAGAAAATCTATGTATTGCTAAGACAAGCGGCCGGTAGCTCAGACTGATGTCATAATAATGTTTTAAGTGTTTAGCAGCAGCAGCCGCAATAAATACACATTAGCCCCAAAAACAACTACAACAACAAAACAGCATTAACATCCTCAACTCCTTAGAACATCCATCAGCATCTAATCCAAATCTTTTTTTATTATAAATATTTAAACCATGTAAAAAAAGAAGTATAATTAACAATTGAATTTGTCAATTGATTTTAGCAGTAGTAGTATCCTCTCGTCATGTAAGAAAATTGAACTGGTGTGTGCAGTGTGAGTTACTAAAACAAAACAATAATTTGTTCTTTTCACTTAATTTTTCTCTGTAAACTTTTCTATTTTTTAATAAGTATGAATTTTTTATTTAATTTTTTTATTGTTAATTAAAAATATAAATCGCGGAAATCGAAAGCAATGAGTGCTTTTCTTTTCTTAATAAAAATAAATAATAAAATCAACAATATCAAATTGAGTTTTTGTAAAATGTGTTTTTTTGAATTCAGCAAAATTATTTTTCAAAGTTTAATTTTCTTTCTCTTAAATAAAATAAAAAATATTTATCAAATATTTTAGTTTGTAAGCATTTTTTCGTCTTTTTTTAGACAAAAGAAAAATCTAATAAAAAATAATGTAAAATTTAAGATTTTCTGTGCATTTTTTATTTTTGGCGGGAAAAGACAATGGTAAAAAAAGTTAGGTTAGGAAGAACTTTATATACCGTTATTCTTCCATGTGGATTTCTTTAGACATGTATTACTAGTTATTTATAAAAGTCTATAGTCTGCACTTAATAGCAGTCTTAAGTCGACTATAGATCAGTCTACAGTCTGAACTATAGATCAATTTATAGTCTGGACCATAAAGCAGTCTATTATAGTCTAGACTATAGGGCAGTGTAAAATACAGAATAATCTATAATTTGAACTATAGAAAAGTCTACAGTCTGGACAATAGAACAGTCTACAGTATGGACTATAAAATAGTCTGGACTATAGATCAGTCTATAGTCTGGACTACACAACCATATATAGTCTGGACTATAGTTCAGTCTATAGTCTGGACTATACATAAGTCTAGAGTCTGGACTAAGATCAGTCTATAGTCTGGACTAAGATCAGTCTATAGTCTGGACTAAGATCAGTCTATAGTCTGGACTAAGATCAGTCTATAGTCTGGACTAAGATCAGTCTATAGTCTGGACTAAGATCAGTCTATAGTCTGGACTAAGATCAGTCTATAGTCTGGACTATAGATCATTCTATAGTCTGAACTATAGATCATTCTATAGTCTGGACTATATATCATTCTATAATCTTGTCTATAGATCATTCTATAATCTGGACTATAGATCATTCTATAATCTGGACTATAGATTATTCTATAGTCTAGACTATAGATCATTCTATAGTCTAGACTATAGATCATTCTATAGTCTAGACTATAGATCATTCTATAGTCTAGACTATAGATCATTCTATAGTCTAGACTATAGATCATTCTATAGTCTAGACTATAGATCATTCTATAGTCTAGACTATAGATCATTCTATAGTCTAGACTATAGATCATTCTATAGTCTAGACTATAGATCATTCTATAGTCTAGACTATAGATCATTCTATAGTCTAGACTATAGATCATTCTATAGTCTAGACTATAGATCATTCTATAGTCTAGACTATAGATCATTCTATAGTCTGGACTATAGATCATTCTATAGTCTGGACTATAGATCATTCTATAGTCTGGACTATAGATCATTCTACAGTCTGGACTATAGATCATTCTATATGGACTATAGATTATTCTATAGTCTGGACTATAGATTATTCTATAGTCTGGACTATAGATTATTCTATAGTCTGGACTATAGATTATTCTATAGTCTGGACTATAGATTATTCTATAGTCTGGACTATAGATTATTCTATAGTCTGGACTATAGATTATTCTATAGTCTGGACTATAGATTATTCTATAGTCTGGACTATAGATTATTCTATAGTCTGGACTATAGATTATTCTATAGTCTGGACTATAGATTATTCTATAGTCTGGACTATAGATTATTCTATAGTCTGGACTATAGATTATTTATAGTCTGGACTATAGATTATTCTATAGTCTGGACTATAGATTATTCTATAGTCTGGACTATAGATCATTCTATAGTCTGGACTATAGATCATTCTATAGTCTGGACTATAGATCATTCTATATTCTGGACTATAGATCATTCTATAGTCTGGACTATAGATTATTCTATAGTCTGGACTATAGACTATTCTATAGTCTGGACTATAGATTATTCTATAGTCTGGACTATAGATTATTCTATAGTCTGGACTATAGATTATTCTATAGTCTGGACTATAGATTATTCTATAGTCTGGACTATAGATTATTCTATAGTCTGGACTATAGATTATTCTATAGTCTGGACTATAGATTATTCTATAGTCTGGACTATAGATTATTCTATAGTCTGGACTATAGATTATTCTATAGTCTGGACTATAGATTATTCTATAGTCTGGACTATAGATTATTCTATAGTCTGGACTATAGATTATTTTATAGTCTGGACTATAGATTATTTTATAGTCTGGACTATAGATTATTCTATAGTCTGGACTATAGATTATTCTATAGTCTGGACTATAGATCATTCTATAGTCTGGACTATAGATCATTCTATAGTCTGGACTATAGATCATTCTATATTCTGGACTATAGATCATTCTATAGTCTGGACTATAGATTATTCTATAGTCTGGACTATAGATTATTCTATAGTCTGGACTATAGATTATTCTATAGTCTGGACTATAGATTATTCTATAGTCTGGACTATAGATTATTCTATAGTCTGGACTATAGATTATTCTATAGTCTGGACTATAGATTATTCTATAGTCTGGACTATAGATTATTCTATAGTCTGGACTATAGATTATTCTATAGTCTGGACTATAGATTATTCTATAGTCTGGACTATAGATTATTCTATAGTCTGGACTATAGATTATTCTATAGTCTGGACTATAGATTATTCTATAGTCTGGACTATAGATTATTCTATAGTCTGGACTATAGATTATTCTATAGTCTGGACTATAGATTATTATATAGTCTGGACTATAGATTATTCTATAGTCTGGACTATAGATTATTCTATAGTCTGGACTATAGATTATTATATAGTCTGGACTATAGATTATTCTATAGTCTGGGCTATAGATTATTCTATAGTCTGGACTATAGATTATTCTATAGTCTGGACTATAGATTATTCTATAGTCTGGGCTATAGATTATTCTATAGTCTGGACTATAGATTATTCTATAGTCTGGACTATAGATTATTCTATAGTCTGGACTATAGATTATTCTATAGTCTGGACTATAGATTATTCTATAGTCTGGACTATAGATTATTCTATAGTCTGGACTACAGATTATTCTATAGTCTGGACTATAGATTATTCTATAGTCTGGACTATAGACTATTCTATAGTCTGGACTATAGATTATTCTATAGTCTGGACTATAGATTATTCTATAGTCTGGACTATAGATTATTCTATAGTCTGGACTATAGATTATTCTATAGTCTGGACTATAGATTATTCTATAGTCTGGACTATAGATTATTCTATAGTCTGGACTATAGATCATTCTATAGTCTGGACTATAGATCATTCTATAGTCTGGACTATAGATTATTCTATAGTCTGGAATATAGATCATTCTATAGTCTGGACTATAGATTTATTCTATAGTCTGGACTATAGATTTATTCTATAGTCTGGACTATAGATTTATTCTATAGTCTGGACTATAGATCATTCTATAGTCTGGACTATAGATCATTCTATAGTCTAGACTATAGATCATTCTATAGTCTAGACTATAGATCATTCTATAGTCTGGAATATAGATCATTCTATAGTCTGGACTATAGATCATTCTATAGTGTGGACTATAGATCATTCTATAGTCTGGACTATAGATTATTCTATAGTCTGGACTATAGATCATTCTATAGTCTGGACTATAGATCATTCTATAGTCTGGACTATAGATTATTCTATAGTCTGGAATATAGATCATTCTATAGTCTGGACTATAGATTTATTCTATAGTCTGGACTATAGATTTATTCTATAGTCTGGACTATAGATTTATTCTATAGTCTGGACTATAGATCATTCTATAGTCTGGACTATAGATCATTCTATAGTCTAGACTATAGATCATTCTATAGTCTAGACTATAGATCATTCTATAGTCTGGAATATAGATCATTCTATAGTCTGGACTATAGATCATTCTATAGTGTGGACTATAGATCATTCTATAGTCTAGACTATATATTAGTCTGTAGCAATCTATACTTTTAACTATAGTCTGAAATATGTACATAATTAGCAGTTTATAGTTTGAACTTTAGAGCGGTCTGTACGATAGATCAGTCTGGGCGATAGAGAAGTTTATAGTCTGTACTATGGATTATTTAAATTGTTAAATTGCAAACTAACATGAAAATCTATCAAACAGGTTTTAGTAAAAAGTTAAAATATGTCCCTAAGTTAGTAAGCAATGTAATACGTATTATTTAATTTGCATGTTTGCAATTTACAAATGTATTATTTATAAAAAATTATAAATAATTTATACAATATAATAATATGTAAGTAAATTTTCCATATAAATACGAGTTGTTAGTTTTATGCGCCTAAAACATGAAACTTTTTATAATATTACTAATTTATTTATCATTTATTTTAAAATAAATTAATAAATAAAGAGTCTATTTAGTGTGTTTAGTGATTACTTTTTGTAAAGGTTCATTATCACAGCAATTTATTATATTTTTTAATATCAATCGACTCTCGTGTTAATATTTGTAATTTAATATAATTGCTTTTGGTGATTAGGCATTTCGCATATGTTATATTTTACAATATTATATTTTATTAGATATTAAAAATGTTAGTAAATGTGATATTTAAACTGTTGATCTATTGAATGTCAAACTTTTTAATAGGGAATCTATAATGCCTTATTAACAAAATGGAATTGAATAACTTTAATAAAACTGACTTGGTTTTTGTATAAAGCGCAGGTAGAAAGCTTACTTAGACTATATTTGAAGAATATGAAAAGGACCTTGTCTTTAGTGTAAGATATAATAACTAGTATAAGACGTTGTCTTTATTAAATTATATTGTTTTAAGTATAAGAAATATACTTTTGTATAAGAGTTTGCCTTCAATATATGGGACAATTTTAAGAATAAGATGTTGCATAAACGATAGTTATAATATAGTTAATAATAATAATTAATAACTTTATTCTTACAGGGGTTAGTATATAGAATCCCAGTAAAATATTTACTAAAAAAAAACTATTTACTTTTAACGCTAGCAAGTTTATAATTAAAAATATTACAATAAACACT